CGGGAGGTTAGAGAACTGAGCACCGCAGAGCACCTAAAAAAAGAGGGAACTGAGGAAGGTCATTTAGACCAGGGGTCTCCAACCTTGGCCACTTTAAGCCCGGAGGACTTCAACTCCCAGAATGCCCCAGCCAGGCTTAAAGTGGCCAAGGTTGGAGACCCCTGATTTTAGACCTCCAGCAAAGAAGCCTTCTGGGAAGAGTTTGCTCGCTCAGTCCAGGCTTTCGCTGTTCTAACCACCGGCAGGTTTTTCTCTGCTCCTGGGAAGGAAGAAAAGCCTCCTCCACAAACAAGCCGGCGGCAGCATGGTTTTAGTTCCAGATCAATGTCTAATTGAATGCCTATCAATTCTACTTCATGGCCAGCCATGAATGCCGCACCAAAAGAACGCTTAAGAAAGAAAGGCAACTAGCAACCCCACAGCCCCGATTCCCCATCTGGGATTGTGCTAGCATTGAAACACATACACACACACACTCCCCACTCACCTCCAAGTTCAGGACTTGGGAATTCCCTGTCCCGTGAGCTTTGAGGACAAATGGCAGAAAGAGTGGGCTAGGAGCCACGCCAGGAGGAGATGGCATGCAACCTCTGGCAGAGTAAACAAAACAAGAGAAAATGGGGATTTTCTCCTCAAGGAACGTGTGGTATGAATCCTAAAAAACCCCTCCTCTGCCCCCACCCCCGATCTTGACAGCTGTTGCTGAGACAGCCCAGCGGTCAGGATTCCAGCAGTCACCCCCGTTTAAATCATGAGCTTCGAGCCAAACTTCCAAAACTAAACAAGATTTTTTGGGAGTTAACATGTCCAGCACAGCTGGGTGTAGCCGACTCTGAGACAAATCATTCATTGTCACCCTTGACCCTGGTTTTCCCCCACCCCCACCCCCTGGATGTATCGTAATTCATATTCTCCAATGAGACACCTCCATAGCCAAGAGTCATCAATCATGCTCTCCAGTTAGAATTTTGCACGGCAGAAAGTTCAGTCACCTAGTTACTATCTTTGAAAAACTATTTATGGAATGGACTTTCCAAGCTGCCGCACTGCTCTTTCAAACCCCTTTTCCCCCTCCCTTTCTGTTGGCAACTGTAAAACAGCCCCCCAAATGTTTTATGACTTGACACCAAAAAGGTCTGGCCCAGGACTGCTTCCCATCTCTTCTAAGAGTCTGCCGGGTAGCCTTGGCTCTAAGTGCACAGGTGCAGGACACCAGATTTCTACGCTGGGTTCAGGTCCCTGGGAATGGCACAACCTGACCAAGCCTCCATGTTCAGGGACAGCAACTGGAAGACTCAGAGATGCAGATACCGGACATGGTGGTTTTACTTTACGGTCTTTAGCCTTCCTTTCCCACATGCTGGAAACCAGATCTCCATTATTAAATTAACTCCAGTTCCAGGAGCCATCGAATCCCAAGAGGACACTTCAAGAATTATGTCTTTTGCACTGCAAATCCCAAAAGTGTATCTAAGAGCTTCACCTGTAATTAATTTTCTGACTCTCCTAATCAATACCACCAAGTCTTCAGAGCCTGCAGCACTGCTCTTTCTGAAGCGAAGGCGCTTTTGATCAGTTCACCAACTGCTGTTCATCGGAAACCGCCTCCTATGGCCATGATTTTCCCCCCCCCCCTCCAATCTCTGAGATGGCTCAGGGTGGACCTCCTGGCCAAACAGGGTTTGAATGGGAGATGCTCTGCGCGCTCTTCTGCTCGGCCAGTGCATCTGAGGCCTCCATGTGCTGGGGAGGAGCCTTCTCAAACGAGAGACTCCCTGTGGCCTGCTGGAGACCGTCAACGGCTACAGGCAAAGACAAGCTCCCATGTGAGCATGTGTGTGCGCACAAGCGCGCACACACAAACACACAGAGCTACCAGCCAGAAGTGAACGGAACTTTAGTTCAACCCAGGCAGAAAATGCAGCATTTGGGATTATGGTCTTGACTTGTACAAATGGCTATTTTGGGGTGGGGTGGGGGGGGAGCACACAAAACTGCATAGGCTGCTGCATGTGCTGGCTGACATCACACACACACACACACACACACACACCCCTCACATCTGCCTTCTGAAGCAGCTGCTCAACAGGCCTCAAGGCAGGACTTGGGAGAAGGTGGCTTAGCTGGGAAAAACAGGAGAGGCAGAGGACGGAAGGGCCGAGTGCAAAGCAGATGTGTGAACCCTTAGAATCCTTGGCCTTCTAATCTTCCCCCCCCCCCCACAGGGGATCCTATACAGAATTGGGGAGTGGTGCCTATTCTCTCCCCCCGTGGGCCTACCTAACGTTTGGATCTACCTGCCCAAAGACAGCAGCCCCCCCACCCCCCCGTGTCTTCCACTCTCGCTGGGGGGGGCTGGATAATCAAAGCCATCCAGAACAAGGAAGCCCCAAAAAGGTTTGGAAAGAAGCTGTGCGGATCAAGGGGGCCCATCTCTAATGTGAGAATACACCTCAGATCCGTTGCATTCTCAAGACGACCCTTTTCTTCTCAAGCAGAATCCTCAGAATCAGTCTACTCCGATACAACGACCCTTTCAGGTCCTTGAGGATCGCATGAAATCCAGCTGTGGAGCATCTTCCATAAACTCAGTTTTGTACACACATCTCCTGAATGCTTTGGCTGCGTTAACAGGGCTTGAGTAATACAATCTGGACTCCTCGGTGGAAAAGAGCCCGAGGAAGACCTCCTGACCGGAAAGCCAACCCGATGTTTACTATCCAGTTGCAACAGCTTCCCGACTGCCTTCGTCCTGCAAGTAAACTGATCCTGGCAAAGGAGGAATCCTATCAAGAAATGAAAATCTCCTGCAAGCTAAATCCTGCATGATCTCAGAGGATCGGTTTGCCTCCCGGAGTTCTCCATCACTGGAGATTCTCAAGAAGAGACTGGACAGCCATTTATCCGGAATGGCGTAGGGCAGCGTTTCTCAACCTTGGTCAACTGAAGATGTTTGGACTTCAATTCCCAGAATTCCCCAGCCAGGAGAATTCTGGGGGTTGAAGTCCACCACTCTTAAACTTCCCAAGATTGAGGAACACTGGTGTAGGGTCCTCTGCTTGAGCAAGGGGTTGGACTAGAAGACCTCCAAGGTCCCTTCCAGCCTTAGGGTTCTCCCTTTCTATGTTTTCTTCAAAGGAACTCAGCTAAATGGCGACAGCACCAACTCAGATGCTACCATCCTAACCCTGTTGACCTTTCTTTGACCTGCTGCATTCAATCCATCATTGGGGGGGGGGGTTTCCACCTGGGTCAATACCGTAGTGGAGAGAAGGTTTACATGCCCGAGAAGATGATGTCTGAATCCACCATGGCATTTCCTGGCCATGGCACCCAGAATCCCCCTTGTGTGAAATTCCACCCCCTTCACCTTCTTTGCACAAGAGAAACCACAGAAAACGCCACCATTTTCCCCTTCACGGCATAGTTTACCTCCCAGCCAAACAGCTTTCGCAACTGGCTAACAGAAGAAAATATTCACATTGCACACAAACAAAACAGAGCAGCGGCCAGAAAAGAAAAGAAAAGAAAAGAAAAAATAACTCCAGCCTCAAAAGAAGTAAACAAGGTTGCAAATCAATCCAGCATGTTATTAAAACAAGAGAAGTTTTGTAATTTCATATTTCAAACACGGCCATGATTTAAATTGTGGCAGGATCCCAGATGGCCCTGGGGAAAAGGTTGCAACCTTTCCTGTATAGAAAAGTGTTGAGCATCCACAGGAAAGGGGGCTGACTGGGGGGCACATCCAATTCACCAGGCCCAAAGCCTTTACCTACAGTGGGAAAGGACCCCCCCCTCTCTCCCCCCCCCCTTCTGCCTGGGCTCCCTCTCTCCCAAACCAGAGCACACCATCCATTTCTCCTCCAAGAAGCCAGTCAGGATGAGGAGCACCTCCTTGGGGCAGGCTGCCTCTTCCTCCTCCTCCTCCTCCTCCTCCTCCCCCACCTTCTGCCCCCAGAGGACTGAGAGAGAGGGAGGAAGCTGTGGGGAGGGGGGGGCACCTCAATTGAGCTAAGGCAGCTTCTTCTTCCGCTTCCCCTTCAGCGTTACCAGCCACCCCCACATCCTGGATGCTGACAGGGGGTGGGCATCCAGGGCTGCTCGGAGGCTAGGCAGCTGGGGAAGGGAGGGGAAGGGGGGGGCTGCCTTTCTGAGCTTCCTCCCAGCTCTCCAGCACCCTTTGTGGGGTGTGTATGTGAAAGGGCCCCCTTTCTGAGTGGAAGAAGGAGCCGTTCGGCCGGAAGAGGCAGGCCCTCCCTGCTCGGCCTGCCAGAGGCCAACTAAAGAGACGCAGAGCCCTTCGGAGGCGAAGGCGAAGGCGGAGAGGTGCTCGCAAGAGATGTGGGCTACGGAGAGAGGAACTCGCTTGGCGTCTCCCGTGGGCAGCATCCAGGCTTGCAAAATGCCCCCCCCCCCCGCACCCCCACCCATCCCCCCAGAGCAGGGGTCTCCAACCTTGGCCACTTTAAGACTGGTGGACTGTGAATTCTGGGAGTTGAAGTCCACCAGTCTTAAAGTGGCCAAGGTTGGAGACCCCCGACCCAGAGAACCTCTCCTCCTTGCCACAGGATCCCATTGGACAAGCAACCCAGTTGGCCTGGAGGAACCCCAGGTGGGGGAGACCGACTAAGTCAGCCACAACCAGAATTCAGCATGTGGCAGGATGCAGGCCTCGTTCCTGGAAGCCTCCCTTTGCTTTCAAACAACGAGGCAGCCTTTATGGCTAGGCCAGATCCAGAGCAGGGGTCTCCAACCTTGGACACTTGAAGATGTGTGGACTTCAACTCCCAGAATTGAAGTCTTCAAGTGGCCACGGTTGGAGCCCCCTGCTTTGCTGGCTGATGAATTCTGGGAATTGAGGTCCACAGGTCTTCAAGTGTCCGAGGTTGGAGACCTCCGACCCAGAGGACAGCGTCCTGCATGCCGCCAGGTTCTGAGCCTTCCCATGGGATTCGCCCACAAGACAAAAAAAGCTAAATCTCAAGCTTGTAACTCACCCTGGCACTGGAAGCCTTGCTTTCCAAATCCCCTGTGAAGGAAAAAGAGAGAGATAACACCGTGTTAGAATTCATTCACGTGCCAACACGCTCCTCTTTAATGTGGCTTCCAGGTGAGCCTTTAACATGGCTCAGCACAAGTAACACACACACACACACACACACACACACAGAAGCCAAAACCCACATGTCATCCAACGAGGAGGAGGAGGATGACAAGATGACAGCCAGAGGAAGAAGTCACAAAGGTGGCCCTGAGCCCCTCTGCCGAAGAGGTCCAAGCACAGCTGTTGTGCTGGACAAGGGCAGCCTTCCCCAACCTGGCACCCCCACAGTTGCCTCTAAGTTCCATCCAGCACGGCTGCTGACCCAGCTGGCTGAGCAGTCATTGGGAAGGCCTGAAATGGACCCGAGCAGGGCAGCCACCACCGAGAAGAGGACCAGGGAAGCATCCTTTGGTTCCTCCTGAGGAACTGCAAGGAGCTGAGAGGGGACAGGCTTAGATAGAGGACTCCTGGGGGGGGGGGGGAGGCTGAGAAGACACCACTGTAGACCCCTGCCACGAACTAGCAGACTTCAGCATGGTCCAGCATAGGATATCCTTGAAATCTACACTTGGCGGTGGGGATCATTGGTCCCGCACTGGCCAAGAGATCCTGTGGACGTATTTAGCATATGCTGGGGAGACCCCAGTTAAAGGAGTCATTCATGTTCACCCTTCTTCTCCCCCCCCCCGCCCCCAAATTGCAGGTGATGGTAAGTGAAGATCTGGCACAGGGTTAAAGAACAGATATTCGTACATGTTTCGCTCTTGCCTCTCTCTGGTGACCCAAAACTCTCTTTTCCTTTCCCCTCCTGCCACCCGCCATGAGTTTTCTCCATCATGTTCTGTTTTGGGGGGGGGGGTGATGTTCAGGACCAGCACAGAGGGCCAGTTTCCCCTCCAGCTTGGCCCAAGAGACTGCGGGGAAATCTCCAAATGGAGCTGGGTTGTGGGAATCCAACCCGTGGCCATCACGCTTGGCCACAACACATCCGTTTGTCGCCGTCCCCCCCCAACCCCCGTAGCTTACGGGAATGCAGCCCTTCCGACTTCTTCGCCTGGCATTGCGGCCCCGAGGACCGCGCCCCCCGCCCCCCACGCCGCCCCATAGCCCGGGGAAAGTTGCAGGGTCCCCGAAGTGGGGCGGGCTGTCAATGGGAGAGGGCCTCTCGGGAGCGGCTTCCCTTCCCCATCAGCCCTCCTTTCAGCCCGGGCCGTCAAGCCGGGGTCGCTGGCCGCGGACGCGGAGAGCTCCAGGTTGGGGGAAGCCCGGCTAAGGCAGCTAACGGGGAAGGCGGCTCAGGTTTCGGGGAGGGAGGCGGGGGGGGGGGGGGGCGGGCGGGGGGGGGGGGGGGGGGACACCCCGATCAGCGCGGCCTGAGAAGCGGGGAGCCAAAGTTGCCCGCTTGGCCACGCGGGCGGAGGGGAAGCGTCGGGCGGGCAGCCGACCAGGAGGGGCGAGCGGGGGCTGGCGGGCGGGGGGTGGGGGGCGCGATGAGCCAAAGGGCGACGCCGGCGCCGAAGCCGTCCGACCGGCCGCGGGTCCGGAGGGGCGAGCGAGGGTCCCCCCCCCCCCCGCCCCCCCCCCCCCGCCTTCTCCCGGCGGGCTCCTCACCAGATGAAGTCGGTGCAGTGGCTGCAGAAGGTGGGCTGCTTGAAGAAGCGGGCGGTGAACTTGTGGTTCTTGACTTCGTGCACGTTCTTCTGGCGAAGGGCGCCTTTGCGGGCGAAGCGGACGTGGCTCTCCTCGCCCTCCGGCCCGGGGGGAGCCGGGGGCTCCGGGACCGTCGCCGTGGCCGCCGCCGCCGCCGCCTCCGGTTCGGTCATGCTGCCGCTCCTGCCGCCGCCGCCGCCGCTGCTGCACGGATGCCGCCGAGCGAGCTGCCTGGCGCGGCCGCCGCTCCGCCCGCTGGTGCTGAAGCTGCGGCGGCGACACCTCTGGCCGCCACTGGGCAGAGGCAGCGCCGAGCCTCTGGCGCCCGCCCCCCCCCCGCCCCGCCCGCCGCCCGCCCCGCGCCCCCCCCCCCGCCCGCCCGCGTCTTCCGGCGCCCTCGAGCGGCCCCGAGCCCCCTGGGCCACTCCACGCCCCCCCC